TATGAATCAATCTTCTCGAAAATATAAATGAACATGTACATCTTTAGTTACTTCATAACATTTTTGTTCTTTTCAAACAAATGCATATATGCACAACTATAGGAACCTGAGAAGACCTATTCATGATCAAAATTTCGGTTCATGTGAAGCCAAATTTACATGCATCGAGTTTACACGATCGAACTTTTTAGTTAGGCTTTTATATAAACTAGTGCTCAATACACACCCAATGCGTGTGCAATCAAAAATATATAATATTTATGATCATATATTTTAACCCAAACCCCTTCCTCAGACTTTATACATAGTATAGATACAAATAGAGATAACGGTAAATTTATGATATAGATAGAGATAAAGGTAAATTTAAAAACACACAAAGTTAGCATTAAATTGGTATTAACTATCTATACAGGTTTTATTATTGTAAACATATAACAAGATTAGTTGCAAATAAGGCAAAATTCCATACTTGTAGCTACATGGGACAAATTACTACTTGTTATTAAGTGTACGTGGAATTCTCAAAGATATTACTTCGCGTCTACAAAATCCATAAAAAGCGAAGCCTTTGGAAATATTTGATGGCATAAATAAGTAAAACGCCTTCGGATGTTATTCATGTTTTTTGTGCTTGGATGAAAACCCAGTCCTACAGAAAGAAAAGTCCAATCTATATCTATATAAATTTGAGAAGGGATTTTTAGCAACAAGCCTTCACAATCCTTCCCACTCTCAACTCTATTTTTATAGCATTTTACATTTAAACACTCCCAAACAAGAAGTTAACTCCAACAAGAAGTTAACTCCAACTAAACACTCCCATGTTCCCTCAAACAAGAAGTTAATTCCAACTAACTCTCCTCACACATCTTCCCACTATAATTAAACCTCTTCCAATCCAATTCCATGATAAGATTGAGCAAGATCTCTTCCCACTTGCTGTTGGTATCCTTATTAGCCCACGCGTGTCAGATGGTCGTCATGCCACTACTGATTCCCATAAAGGTAATTCAATTTATTTTCACTTTATTTTATTTTATTTTTATAGTTTATCAATAAATATAGCACATTGTGCAGGACCGTCACTTTATACTATTCGAGCAAGCAAATTATATGTCAATTACTACTTGGATTTTGCTCAATACCTACACAGTTGGTAAGTTTTACAAATACCAAAATATTAAATTATTAATAATATTTCATACTTTTACGAATATATATTTGAAAAATTTGCAGGTTTGAGAATGATAAATGTGCTCAGAAATTAGTGACGTGGTTGCGGTCATGCAGTTTTATAATGTCCCAAGCATTATTGATATCAAATGCTAAGAGAATATGAATATCCGAATATGCAGTTATACCTACAGTACAATTCCTCTCAATTAATTTAAGTAATGAACAAGTATCTATATGTAGTTTCGAATTAATAATTGTAATCTATACATTCTTTGGATTGTTTTAGATTAAATATTTTCGGATACTTGCTTACATTTAAAGTATCAACATAGACAATATGTTCCATGAGTTATGCAAAAATTGTGGACAACCATGTCAATCTCATTTTGTAAAAATGGTGTGTATCCATTGTAATGACGTAGTCGACACTATTGTCAGGTAATTATTTTCATATATTTTGAATTTTAATATAATTTTTTACATCATACATCACAATTTCTTCTTAACAGATACAATGTTAACATAGAAGTTAGAGATTTCAGTGGTAACCTATACCTCGCTCTTCAAGACAGGCATGCACGATTCATGTTTCGTTGTGATACTTTTTGTCTTAGAGATTTAAAAACAAAGGTATACATTATTCATATGTATATATTTTTATACAATATTATTTACAAACTATCTAAAACAAAAGATAATTTTGAATTATGTATGCTTTTAATTGTCAGGAAAATAGAGGTGCATTGTTCGACCAACGCATTAGTTCATGCAAAAATCGTGCATTCTAATTTATAGTATGAACTCCACAAAAATCAACAGAATTAATTAAACCCCCAATACTGGCGATCATACTCAGAATTGATTGGTGTGAAGAATGTTCACGCCTTCGTAGAAGATTATCAAATCGAAGGCAAAATGTTTGTAAGTATTTCATTTATTTATCAAATTAAATATTCAATTATATTTAATTGGACCCTTATGTCGCTCAATTTATGATATAGATTTCTATTTTTTTTCAGGATCCAACCTTCATCAAAGTGATAGTTTATAAATAATGGAGATGTTTTTATCATATATTGAATTATTATTACAAAGTTTCATTTTTTTAAATATACTTTCATGTGCCCGTGATTATAATATTTTACTATTTTTAAATTCTTCTATAGATTGTAATTTTTTTCAAAAATGCAATCTACTGTTCGTAGCACTGGTATTTATACTAGTATGACTAAGATGGGGAAGCTTTAGTTTTTTTTTTCTTTTCCATGTTATTGTATAATTTTTTTTGTTAGTGTTTAACTATAATCTTAACTGCATTATTTGATCTTTTTGGACGAATGATGTGGAGATTGTCATAATCGTACTAGTGTAAGAAGTAGGCTTTGACGTAGAAAAGGAATTAATGTAGGTCCATGATGGTTTAACTGAAAAGATTTGGTAATTTAGCTAAAGCTTTTGAAATTTTAGATTGTACAATCCAGAGAGCTATAGCCATAATTTTGGAATAAGATGAATTGTCTAAAATATTTCCAAGAATAAGCTGAATTGTCTAAAATATTTCCAACAAAATGATTTTTAACCTATAGGATGTGGCTATAATAAGGTTCAAGCATAACTCTTTCAATAGACATACTTCCCAAATTATAATAACCTTCCAAAGGAACATATTGAGAGTTCTAGAAAAAGAATTATATTTAGTGAATGAGTTTAAAAAAATTCACTAAATATGTTTCATACAAACAAAAAAATGCATTTTGTAATTGCTATCTTTTGAAAAAAAATTTGTCTTCACTTAAATGTTTTTCGCTTTCTCTTTAAAAAGATATTTGAATTCGTAGATATTTAGAGTTCTGGAAAAAAATTATATTTAGTGAATGAGTTTTAAAAAATTCACTAAATATGTTTCATAAAAGTAAATGTCTAGACAAACAAACAAATGCATTTAGTAAATGCTATTTTTTGAAAAAACAAATCGTGTTCACTTAAATGTTTTTCTCTTTCTATTTAAAAAAAGATTTGAATTCTCAGTTATTAAGAGTTCTGGAAAGAATTATATTTAGTGAATGAGTTTTAAAAAAAATATCACATTGATTTAAATGTTTTTCTCTTTCTCTTTAAAAAGACATGTGATTGTGGAGGATCTGAGGTCATTGGATTCGATAATGGTGGTGAGTTGGGGTTTGTTTTCTCTGTTCTCGTGTATGGGGTGGCCGAGGATTTTGGCCTTGCTGATTGTTTTGTGGCGGCGAATTTTGGGATTGCTGTCAAATTACCTGTCACCCCCACAAAGGCGGTGACTAACTCCAAATTTAATTTAAGTTGCTTTTAGGTTTTAATGATTTGATTAAGGATGCCATGATTATACTACAGTTTGTTTCTGACCGAAAAGAAAGTAGAAGATATTTCTTTCTTAATTGGCAACTGTAGGTTGACTCATGGAGTGAAGTAAATTGGGCTCTTAATGCAATCAAATTTGGGAGAATAATTTCCCAATTGAACTTCTCTTGGAACAGTGTAATATGGATTAGACATGATACTTGCATGGATCACCCCCTCTCCAATCTAAAATCTAAAGGCTTAGGTCGTGTTTGGATTGTAATTACTGTAGTAATTTGATATATGTGAGATAAAAAGGTGATTGAAAATATATTCACGAAAAACGTAGAGATTTTTTGATGAAAAAATCCCTTTTCAAACAAGGTTTTAGATTGTGACTTTACTAAACAGGTTATTAGTAGTATAATTTTCTTTTGGATAGGCATGCCTAGTAATTGTGAACAACCAAAGTCATGTTGCCTAGTCAAACATTGAAGACACCAGTTTCCACCTTGATTGGGCGAGCCGTCTATTGGTCATACATAAATCATATTTTGTTATCATTTTTGTTTATCCAATCTAAGAACTGAAATAATTCTACAATTATGTTAACTTTTTATGATTTTGTATGATGCCAAAAAAAGAATGTTCAATGTTCAACATCATTGGCGTGCATTGAACGTTTTCTCACTTTCGTCTAAGAAATCAAACATACGATTTCAAGTTCAACTTAAAAAAAAAAAGGTTAAAGTTATTATGAAAGTTGCAATGAAGTTAATTTGCACAATTTCATTTTTTTATACTTCTTTCTTTCTTTTCTTATACACTTATAACCATAAAATATAATGAGGAGCTTCAAATAGCACGCGAATTAGCATTTAGCATGAAACTCTTTTTTGTTTCTCTTCCTTTGGGTTATTGAATCAAATCAAAAACAAAATTTATCCACTCGCAAAAGTTAGCTAAAACTGATTGTCATTAGAACAGCTGTGACGCCATAATTTCACAACCTAAACAAGTTGTAATGTAACCTCGTAACGTACAATAACGTAAGAACCAATAATACAGAAGACACAAATCGGATGACCGATTCCGCAATCTGAGTCGTGATTGTACCAAAGCGGATCTATGTTATACCAGCTTGGCTTAACTTGACTTTGAGATGCCAATTACTTGGAACAATTGCCGAGCCACTTAATTCTAGAAGACACTCAAAGGTTTCCCATTAGGAATGCAATGGAAGTGGTTGATTGTTTACATGTTCTTTATAAATTCAAATTATAGATTTAAAAATACTTCTATGTCATATACTACTCGATTCTTGATATTATTAAAGTTTGCTTCTTCCAAGTAGTAATGGCTCCGTTTGGATTTGCAATTTTTTCCAAAAACTGTTTTTGTCTTTCAATAACACCAAATGTTGTGACCCAATAACAATTAAGTGTATAGTTAAAGAAACACAAAACTACGTCATTTTTCCCAAAAGCCCCAATTGTCTTGTTTTCGACCCTTCTTTGCAAACGTAACCCTAAACCACTTTCCCAAAGGCACAAGAGTGTAAACGCTGAGAGATTCCCTTACGTGAACATCTCTGCCTCTGCAAAATGCTCCACTAAAGCACCTTTGACGACTGAGTTTGGCCACTCTGCCTCGACTCATACGTTTTCAGAACGCATCCAAGCAGAGACTCGTAGCGCGACTTCAGCTCTGATAGCAAGGACCTCTGACCCCCTCTTCAGCTCTACAGGTCGAAAAAGGTACGTTTTTGGCATTTTCCTGCTTTCAAATGCTTCTTAGCCTTCTATTGTAAAGAATAATTTCTGAACTAGATTGTTTTGCGATGGGGAAGATTAAAAATGTGTAATTGATGTGGCCAAATCACAAATATATGCGATACACTTGCGATCTTGAGTATGAATAAGGTTCGATTTCATCCAAGAATGGACTTCATTTGCGGATTTTTTTTCTGTTTCCGGAGAATTTTGGAATGATTATACACAAAATTGCTTGCTTTATAATTTGAAAACCTTTTTATGTGTGCATCGTTAGAACTGGCTTTGTCTGATGAGCTAATGAATGCGAACATATTTTCCCTGGATTTATTTGGTTGGATAAAAGAGAAAGAAAATAATGACATACCATTTGTCTTTCCTTATACTGCGAAAATAAGAGAGAAACACTTATTTTTGTTAATTAAGTAAAAATGAACCAATTATTTCTGGCATGCTGAAATAATTACTATACTGTGCTTTTGTTTGGTAAGAAGATCTAGGAAAATATTACAACTTGTATTGAGACAGTTTGATATGGTAATTATTGGATATAATAGAAAGCATTAATCTGAATGCCGTGCATTGAAGGCATATATTCACGAGTAAAGGCTCTTGAAAAGACACTCAAGTTGTTTCCCAAAAGCTAGTGTGCTTTTCTGAACTTGCTTCCACATTCTAGCCGTATTTCAAATTGAGTTTTTTTTTCTGATTTTTTCACGAACAAGTGTGCTTTGTTCCAAAGGATGTATAATCACAGAGTTGATGTACATAGAGAAAATTTTTCTTTACATTGAAATTGAAAGAAATTATATCATATCTCACAAGAATTACTCCAACCGAATAAAACTCTAAACTAAGAACTATTGTTGCTTCCCTTGTCTGAACCATTATGAAGAAGTAGCTTGTTCCTTTCTTTATGGATATCTCAATTCCTTAGAATTACCATTCTTGTCATGCTGTTCATCTTTGATCTGCAACTACTAGAAATTGAGATGCTACCTTTCCTTTTTGATGTGTTACAACTAGATGGTCTGTAGGTGCAAAATAGAAATAGTAACTGCATCAATAAATGCTTAAAGAGGATGCTGATGTGTGACAACCTAATATCTTCTTCTGCTTTTTGTCACTTTATTTGATTTAACCATACAAGAGGAAAAAATCAGCACCCAAACAAATGGGAGCACTTAAGTTTTTAACTGTTTGGATTGTCAAAAGCACCATCCAGAATTGCTGGACCATAGCCATCAGCGTTGGAATTTGACTGTTGTTTATTCCAGTGATTTCAAATGCCAGCAGAAACCTTATTGCTGCTTGAGTGTGTCAGTTTTATTTTAGTTATGAGCGTGAAAACAGTTCGGAAAACCTGTTTTAGCCGTGTTGTGTAATATTGTTTTGGATGAGTAGTTCTTACTTTAGTATGTTAATTTTTGATTTTTTCTGTTTTTTTTCTTACTTTAGTATGTTAATTTTCTGTGTTTTTTTTCTTACTTTAGTATGTTTACTTAATTTTTGGTTTATGGCCTTAATATGGAAAACCTGTTTAACTGTTATTTTTTCTTACTTTATGGCCTAATTCTGTGTTTTTTCCCTGAATGAACTACTGCACGCTATTTAAGGCTGTTAAATTTTTCTTTTTGACCTCGAAAACACTTGATGTCTTTGTCTAACTTCATACTGCTGTTTGGTGCTAAAAAATAGGGTAGTTTGGTTACTCTGGTTGCTGTTTTCTAAGACTACATGCCCCCTATTACCCGCCGTGCTGCCAAAGGTATATTTGCTTGATTCTCCTTTGTTTTTATCCTTGTTCAATATGGTCAGTAATTTTATATTATGTCAACACAACATTGAATCAGAAAATCATCCAGAATTCTCAAAAATCCAACTCAGCTTGGGAGGAAAAACGATTTAAGGCTGTGCATTGTTAATTACTACAAGGTAATTCTTGCTCCTCCTCTAATTTGGTTATTATTATGTCGTCTCTGTACCTTGAATAATCATGCCTGTCACTTTATTTATTTGTTTGTTTTTGGATTTATTTATGAGTTAATAAGATGAGAAAACAAAGGCGCAATCAAGGTGAGGAGCATTTATATTTCTCTAGGCAGCACGAAATTGATTTTGCCAACCACTTTGTGAACATGCATAGAGCTAGTGAAATTAGGGACAATAACATTTCTGTGTATGTGGTTCCCGAAATCCATCGCCGGTTGAACGGCCAATACAGCACCTCCTTCTCCTTTGATAGTATAAGAGCCAAATTCTATGCATTGCGAGAGCTGACCAAACTGTACATTGCCTTCAAGAGGCGGGGAACGGGACTGGGTTGGGATAGCCAGAAGTTTACCTGGCTTATGGACAATAGCAAGTGGGCCAAGATGGAGCAGGTATAACTATTGAATAATTGTGAGTTTTTATATCTTTTAAAACCTATTTTTAATACTTTTATGAGCTGGTTCCGTTAACTCCCTTTTGGCTGTGTTTTTTTTACCAGGTCAACCCAAAATTTGTAAAATTTCAAAATGACTGCACCGTCTATCATTTGCTTGAGGAGGTCTTTGTCAATCAAGGTGCAACGGAAACTTCAGCTTTGGTTTCGAGAACTAGCCCCGTACTTCAGCCGAGGAGCAAGATATGGAAACTGCTGCACGATGTGCATGGGGAAAGGGAAGGTCGGACTATCCGGCCGAGGATGCTGAAGTTGAGGTAGTAGGAGCGAATGAAGCGAAAGGGAAGAAGGGGAAAGGAAAGCGGAAGTCGGGTGATTGCTTAAGCGGTAGTCCTATGTCCACCGCCTCTGGTTCAGTGACAAATAGATATCTCAGGGCTCTTGATACCATTGAGTCGCTGGTTAGTCGAACGAAGAGCAGCAGCATGAGTGTGTCGGTTAGTTTTCCGAACAAGCATCGTTTCGGCCGCGATCCCTCGAAGAAAATCGACTATGAAGTTACCATGGAACAACTTCAGGGTATAGAGAACGTGGCCTACGTAGCTAAATACGCCACTGCTGAAATGTTGAAGGATCTTCAAAAGTTGGCTATTTGGAATTTAGCTGGATCAGACGCCAACCGCATTACCTTTATGAAGTTAAAAGGCTGTTTCCCGCCTGACACTCAGGAGCCCCCTCCCCTACCCCCGTTTTAGTCGTTTGCCTTGTTCATCGGGAGTACTTATTTGAAGGTTGAGTTGTTGCCTTTGTTTGTTTATACTTGAGACCGTTAATTGTATTTTTTGCTACCGAAACTTAGACTTTTTTTTTCTTAATGTTGTCATTTGTTTATTTAAATTCCGGATACTTTGTGGCCATGACTTTGATTGTTGAGTATTTTACAATTCTTAATGTTGAGTGTGGCCATGACTAATTGTTGGATAGTATTTAAATTCAGAATGACTTTGTGGCAATGAATGTGTTGGATAGTATTTAAATTCAGGATAACTTTGTGACCATGCTGGTTTGGATAGTATTTGAAATTAGGATGACCAAATACTATAAATGTGTTGGATAGTATTTAATTTCACGATGACTTTGTGGCAATGACTTGAGATAGTATTTAAATTTAGAATGCTTGGGGGGCCATGACAAGTTATCAACCTGTTTTTGGTTTTAAGGTTATTGTTTGTGGCCAATCAAGTGATTGCTCTAGTATTTTTAAGATATTGCTGGCTAATACATTTTAGTATCATTCTAAATTTATAGTGACTGAGGGATACTATTTGTTACTAACACTGACTTTTGTATATTGTCTTGAAAAGGCAATTAATAACTTGTCTTTGTAAATCGCATATAATTTCCTCCAAATTGATTATTGCAGGTGTATAGGTATTTTTAAGTCATTTTTTGTTAATTAGGAGTCAATTGATTTTGATATTGATCATTACTGTTGCCACATTTTTTCTCTAATTCACCTTTAATGAAACTGTATCAATAACACTTGAAATGGATTATGATAATTATGCGCATGATGGGGATTTCTCTGACGAATCAGACGAGAATGAGCTCATTTTGACTTTCACCATTTTTGTATTTGTTGGATTGGCCTTATTCGATCCATACCTAAACCCTTTGCAGCGGCGACGAATCTGAGATGGTGCACAGTCAGGTGCTTAATGGGTTGTAGAACTGATAAACGGCCATCGAGATAGAATATTCGACAACCTTTGCATGGAAACTCCTCTTTTCTTGCAGTTATGTGACTTGTTGCTTGAGAGGGGCTATTGGGAGCCCCACCCGACACAACGGGTGGGAATTCATGAGTCTGTCGCCATTTATCTTCTGTGTTTGAGTCATAATGAACGACATAGGGTGCTAGCCAAGAGATTCCAACATTCTTTCGAGACAGTGGACCACCATCTACGACGCTGCCTTCGATCTCTCGTTCGATTGGAGCGTGACTTGGTCAGGCCAATAGATTATCACATTACTCATCCAAGAATACAGAACAGCGCTGTTCTGACCCTGATTTAAGGTTAAGGGTTATTTTGTTAAATTAGTTTTTTATGAAAACCTGTTGGAGACTAAACGCTGGCCTATTGTGATTAGGATTGCGTTGAAATTATTGATGGCACACACGTTTCAGCGTGGTGTAGAGCCGAAAACAGGGATCGTTACCGGAACAGGCATGACAGTTTATCACAAAATATTTTAACCGTGTGTGACCATAATATGAGATTCATTTATATCAGGGTAGGGTGGGAGGGTAGCGCATATGATTTTAGGATCTTACGAGATGTTTTACTTGATCCTAATTGTGCCTTTCCAATGCCACCAGTAGGTGAGTGAAAATTAAATCAAATAATGCCTTGCCTAATTGAGTTTTTGCTTTGTTTAAATATAAATATTTATAATGGATTTAATTATAATTACATGATATGCAGAGAAGTATTATGCGGTGGACGCGACATGCACAAATATGTCAGGATTTATTGTTCCCTTTAAGGGTACACGGGGAACCCCACAAGAGCGGGCAGCAAGAGCATTTTTCAACAGACACCATGCATCGTTAAGAAACATTATAAAATGCACGTTTGGTGTCTTGAAGAAGCGATTTTCGATATTTAAGGGCCCCATGCAGAACTATTTGATGGCAACACAAAATAATATTGTCCTTATTTTTTGTGCCTTGCACAACTTCATGCGCGATCATGTTCCCAATGACGCATATTTTGTTGAAAAAAAAGCTGATGTAGCATTGGCAGATAATATAAATCAGGACAACCAAAAGGCCGGAGCACAACCACTTGATATGTCAGCTCAAGGAATTGCTGGCTGGAATGAAAATATGAGACAATAGCCGATCACATGTACTATCACCAACATTTATAGAACATGTTGGTCGTTATCTATTTTGTGTTTTTCTAACTATAAGGCAGATTGTCAATGCCAAAATAATAATTAATATTTTCACGGACATATTATATCTGGCATGTACACTTATGAAAATCTCTATGTATTAAGTTTACGTTTAATTGTATCACTACAAATGACATTAAGTATTTTAGGAAGGATATTTATTGAACTCCAAAAAATTTAACTGTTGTTTTCAAAAATAGTGAATCCAAACACTTTTGTTTTTCAAAAATAATCTGTTTGTGAACGACAACTAATCCAAACAGCATTTACTGTTTTTCAAAATATGAACAGTAAATTTTTTGTAAAACGCCCCAAAAAATAACTAATCCAAACGGACCCATTAATATTTTTTGGTTCCATCTATGTGTGGCTTAGTGCTTATCCAATAATTGGCAAATTGAATGAGGAGTCTTCTAGCAATTAAGTGTTATAGTATCTTGTTTTTGGCAAAGAATGAGAAGTCACTTATTTTTGAGTTATTTCTGTCAGACAGATTTACTCCTCTCCTTCTTCTTCCTCCTCCTCTTCATCTTCTTCTTTTTTCCCCAACAAACTTTTACATGGTATTGATACATTCATGTTACTAAGCATATTTGGATGACAATTTATCCTATAATACTTGGTGAAAATTGGAAGAGGAACATGTCATTTGTAGACTCTTTGGTATGCAACAAAAAAAATTTGTTAAATAGTATTTCAATTGTAAATATGATAAGAGTTAAAAAAAAGGAAATATTCTTTTCCCACACGACTTCAAAGATAAAATAACATTTCCTCAAAAAAAAGAAAAGATAAAATAACATAACATAGTGAAACAATTCTACATCTCTCAATATAAATAGTAATAGTAGGGAACATGCATGGTGAAAATTGAAAGACAACATGATGCTTGCAATTGGGTGACTATTTTCTGCCATCGAACTATCATTCTTCCCCGCTGCTTCTTTCTTCTTTTTTAGAATTTAGAATTGAAACTAGGGATAATTTCAAAACTCCCATGAGATTTCGGACAATTTCACTCGCCTCCCTTGAAATTTTCAAATAACACTAACCTCCCATGTAGTGTGTGATTGGAGAAAAATTACTCATGTATCCTAAAATATTATGTCTTATTGGAAATTAACATATGGCAATTAAGTAATTAGGACACTAATTAATTGATAGTAACTAATTAACGAAAATAGCTATTGGGAATTTTTTTAATGATGAATACTAACATGCAATTACAAAATGGTGCCAATTTATGTACCAAATATTTATCCACCCTCATAAATTGATATTCCAAATTGATATACGGATCACTAATTTGTTTGGATTTTTTGTACTCTAAAAAATCTTCACCATTGTCTTGCGATTACACTTACAACATTTGTTCTTGATGTTAAAGAATGTGGATGAAATTTATGATTTCCTCCTATAGTTTCTGCACATATACTTCACATTCAGCTTGCATAACCCAACACAAAATCACTATTTTTCCATCTAAAATTTTGTTACTGGAAGTAAAAATGAGATCCATCTTAATGCTTCTTGATGCTATTTGTATGCAAAATGGTAAGGACTTTGAAAAATTAGCCGTTATAATCCAATACAGTAACCATTGGTTTAGTTCTATAGGGAAAGTCAATTACTACTTATTTTTTGTTATTTGCTATTTGCATTTACCTTCCCTTGCTTTTATTAATTTGTTTTTCATTTCTTTACAATACAACTTGTACACAAGCATAAAGGTCAGTTGTGAAATAAAAGTTTTGTATCTCTTCTTAAAGCACTTTTTTTTTTGATTTGGAATGATTTTGTTATCAAAATCTTAACCTTCGAGAGGTTAGTATAATTTTACAAATCTCAAGAAACATCATTGAAATTGTCGAAAACGTCAAGGCAGGTTTTCTAAAATTATTCCTTGAAACTAATCTTCCATATTTTGGGTCAGAGAGTGCAATTTAGCAAGTCTCATTTTAGACCAGATCCATTCAACCTTCAGACTCTCACTTGTCTATTCAACCTTCAGACTCTCAGTCATGGCCACCAATTAACGGCATGGTGCTCTAGTAAGTTACAGTGTTCAAGCCCTATTTTTACACTCCATTCCCAACACGCGAATGTTTTAGGGCCGATAAGAATTCTTTCAAGAAATGATTTATGACCCAATTCCTGAACATCATTCAATTGTGCATCCTCCAAACATGATTATACCAAAACATATGCCCCAAACTGGAAAGTCAAAGCTTGCGTACACAAACCAAACTAATCTTGTTAGTACTATTAATACGAAATCGTACCCCAGGCATATTCTTTAACTGCCCAAAAGGGTGTTTTTTCGCCATTTCAGATTAGTACGGAAATCAAGAGACTAGTAGCAAAAGTTAAGAATTTACTATTAAAAGTGCAAAATCGATCGGTACTCTCTAAGGTAAAATTAGTGTCCTCTAATGGTGAGCGTTCACGTGACAAATGTTCATTCAGTTTCTACCCTGCTGAATTCGACACCACCATGATATAACACCCTACACCATTGTTAGCTTCGTGCAGAAATCAGTTACTATAATAAAAGTTAGAATAATTATTTATTTGAAAGGTATCAACTCCAAATCGCAATGATATATTTGTGCGGATAATTTAAAGTAATTAATAAGAGCAGAAGGTGGATTGTAGGACTGGTCCAGCCGAAAAAGATGCTGCTTGAGCATTTGCTAATTCCTTTCTTTAGTGGTTGAGACTTGAGACTATTTTTTTTTACTCTTCTTTCTTTCTATTTGCCATCTCTTGATTTCTTAATTTTGATATGGTCAAGATAGGCGCCACCTTTACTTTTCAATGACGAAAATGAGCACCCCAAATAAGCCATTATATCCTTTGTCAGAATTAAACACCACAAAAATTCAACCAAATCGTCCCTCCAAAGAACTTTCAACATTGTGTTCCTGTTGATTTTTAGGACATAAATTAAGAAGCAATGCATTATTTAGTAATAGAAAAAAAAAAGCTTACTTTTC